GGGTGTGCAAAGTTCCCTGTTACTGGGAATATCTTGGTTTCAGTATCCCACTCGTGTGCTGGATAACACATCACGTTTCCGGATATCGTGACCTTTCGAGCCTTTGTACAGTATTGTGTACTCAAGTGGCAGCACATGCAAGTGGGTTTTGGCGGCGTGTCCAGTGAAGGATGAGTATATGTTCTACGCCAGTGTTAAGAAGTGAATATATTCCAAGCCTCCCGTTTGAGACTATGACTTGCGTAGGACATAGATATATAAACACATAGCCTTGTTCGTTGGTAGATGGGAATAGATATCCTTGACGGCCGATGCACCGCACGGGTCGCCAACCCGTTTGATCAGGCGCCGGTCGATTTGCCGACGGTTCAAATACATATAATGCTCGACTGAAGTATAGTGCAAGCGAATATGATTGGCACGTATGCATATCGTCCGAGGTGCGGCGTCGGGGACTGGGACACATATAGGACACTGACCCAACGCGCAAACAGTGAACCAACTACATGGTCGCCGATGTATTCTGGTCGCTGGAGGTGTCCACTGTATCACGTCCTTCTGACTTCTGCCATCGCGAAGCCACGAGGGCATGTGCAGCGTCGTCCGGTAAATACAGCAAAATGGGCATGTGCCTATGGCGTCCGAGTGACGCGCCTCCGGCGCCGCACCAGCCACGGATATATCCGACCTCAAAGGTTTGTCAACGCTGCCTGGGATTGTTGTCAAAAGTCCACCGTAGGTGCTAAACGTAGCAAACTCGTGAGCCAGTCGTGCGTGATGCCTTGCCGTATATGGCCCTCCTTACTAGTATGATCGCACTGTCGACCCAATCCATCGCAGGGTACTGCACTCTCCAGTCTGAATGATCTCATCTTCCTTTCATCCAGGCATCTATGTCGTTGGGGCAGCCGGCATGGTCGCACTCGACCGTCGCTTCCGCGGCTTTATCGCGGTGGAGGACGGCCAAGGATCTCGTGTGTATCGCGCTCTTTTGTGCATGGACGGCCTTCGACATGTCGGCGTACAGCGGCAACGCGACGCCTCTACACGCTTGTGGACCCCACCAACCTCGCCGACATGGTTTGGATTAAAGGTACTGATTCATAATATCTCATGTCCTGGATGTATTCGGTTGTGTATCAACCAGTGTGGCTGATTTTTGTCTAGGCCTCGTGCTACGTCTAGTCAGCGTCAGCATCGAGGCCTTTGCCGGGCTCCTTGGACAGTGGAAGCCCATGGACGACACCGTCACAGAGCGTGTCGTGCGCTCGTTCGTGCACTTGAAAGGCATCCTTTCACCCCCAGGTAAGACCCCCCTTTTCTCCCGACCCCATCATAACCTCGTGTTCACGATAGACGCACCGTCGACGATGCTTCGTGTGGGCGGTGACAACGCGACCACCTTATTGCCGTCGTTGGTGGCGTTTCTCTCGAAGATCGCGACCCCCACCCCGTCACAGTCCTCGGCGGCGGACACGCCGCCGCAATCCTTCCACCCTCTACAAGCGGCGGCCCACACACGGACGTCCTGTCCGAGCTGATCTTGCATGAAGAAGAAGAAGACCAAGACCCAACGCGTCTGCCGTCGAGATGATTCGTCGGTTGGTTTCCCTTGTGATAGTGTATAATATCGTAGGCGTCAGGGCCGGTTGACTCTGGGATGAACTACACGTAGCCTGAAATGGTTGAGCAAATGGTGGACGAAGGTGCCATCTCCGAAGGTGGTGGCAATCCTGCACCCTACCCCCCCCCCGACCTGGACCTGACTGTGAATACTCTGAACTGACCTCGCTTCGCCGACGGCTACACCAGCATCATTGGCGACAAGCCTGTGTCGTTCCAAGCCGCCGACGTGCTGCACTGGCGACGTGGACGGCTGGCGTACCTGCTGCACAGGGTGCCCGAAGAAAGGGAAGCGACGCGCCAGCCGCCGCCGATTCTCCGAAGCCGCGTGGCCAACTCCCGTCGACAACCGGTCGGGGTTCTGGGGCGGCGTGCTGAACCCGTCGAGTTGGCCACACATGTTCCCGACGACTCCACCCAACGAAGTTTAATCGTCTTCTTAATGCGCAAAGCCATTCCTATGTGTCGCTCATTCTTGCAGCACCCTCGAGTTCTCGAGTTGCACTACACCATTTTGCGTTTATTTTCAGCTTTATTTCAAAATATTTCTACCACCATCGGAACTCGCCAAAATCCATTATAACGTTACATGTATTTCACACCGACGTAAAATATCGCCGATGTATTTCACCCCAGACAGGTTAATTTCACCTTTCGAAAATATAATTCACCTCTGACCATCATTACAATTCGAGCTGAATTTGAAGTGCGCAAAGTGTTTCGCGCGCTTTCACCATTCTTGAATCTGAGCTCGATGGAAGAGGCCATCCCGGCACCAAAAACTCCGGTACAGCTCTCTGTATAGAACGATCCACCGCTAACATGTCATAGCAGCCACCCCAACGTGGTCCCTACAAGCGAGTTCTCCTCTCTGCCAAGAGACATGTGGTTGCAGGACACGACGCCGGACAAGACTGGAAGTCCGTTGCTCGTGCATATGGAATCAACGAGCCCACTGCAAAAGGATGGCTCATGTTAGAGTCGTGGACACCAATGCAACGCGGTAAGCTACATATAATACGCAAAACGATCTGATATGGGGCTACCACCGATGGGCAAAACTCGTAATGCGTTTCGCATGCAATACTTGGAACACACAGCGGACGAGGCAATTGCAGGTATTCAGTCCATTTGTATCGTATTTAACTCAACAACGAATATATGAATTGAACCGAATCGCTTGATTGTACACGGCTCGCCTTGAGCCGTTTTATGTCCGTGCTACGAACATGCAAGACATGGACGTTGGTGCTTGAACCATAGATGTGTTGCTTGTGTTGGTTTTAACTCTCTCGGGCGTAAAGGATTTACTTTTCAAGAAATATATAGGTGGTCAGGTGAAATAAGGTGAAATTAACCGTTGGTTGGGGGTGAATTATATCGGGGGTTGGGTGAAATATAATGGCCAAATTTCAATTCGGCGTGAAATATAACGGAGGTTGGGTGAATTAACATGGGGTTCAGGTGAAATATATCCCTAATAATTTTTGGTGGAAATATTTGGAAAGAAAGCTGAAATTAATATAAACGCAAAATGGTGTAGTCTTTGGGTTTTTCGGAGATGAATATACAGTAGTCATAACGAAGCAAGTCGATTGGATTTGAAATATTTGTTCCACATCAATAGAGCTACGACAGGAAATTGGAGTGGACTCATGCTGAATTGAGCTAATTCTATGTGCAGATATATATATATATATATACATATATACGAAGCCATGTCGACGTTTTTGGCGACAGCCTTCCAAATAATAATCCTCAAAGAGATTATCTTTCCCCAAGTCGAAAAATAATCTACTAGTATTTTTGCCGAATATGTGAATAAGCGAATGATCCCTGGTGATTCCAAACAACAGTGGCTGTACATATCCAACCAGAATCTTGTATTTCAAACCGGTTGGTTTGATTTGTCAAAATAATCGAAAATGGCCAATCAGACTTCAACGTTAAGATTCTACTTGGATTCAAAGTGTGGCTTAACAGCCTTGTAAATAAACTCCAGTCTCCGAGTAACGTTATATCGTACTTCTAAATGTGGATTTTTCTGTCCAACGTCCAACTTGAGCGATTTTTCTCTGGGTGAAGAAGGTTGCTCTGTCTTGACTGCCGTGCTGCATCAACACTTTGAGGCACAAATGCTCTTGTTATTACCGCTTCGAGTACAATGTACTGTAGCATCCGCGATGTGGCTAAAGCAATGCAATATCATGGAGTGGTAGCGGCGAATGACCACAGGAATAGATTTATATAATCCAGATAATCGATTTTTCGTCGTGTTGCCACAAGATAATCTTTTTTTCTTAACCATGACCAAGGAATAAATATACAATAGTACTATTAATACCTATTAATAGTATTATATTTTGAAAGGCCCTTGGTACACCCCACACGAACAATCATATGGCCGCAGCAAATGGGCCACATAATCGCTGGCATTTGAAAACGTGGCGCCGGATAATCCTTGAATTTCGGATAATATGCCCTTGCTTGGCAAACCAAACGTGATATCGCTTCGTTTCAAGCATGTCCACCAGTGCCGCCGCCGCCGCCGCGCCCGCCAAGAAGGGTCAACCGACATGGTACATGCCGCAACCCATGAACTCCCTGATGGAGTACTGGGAGCGTCATTACCCCCTCAAGCTGTACAACAGCATGACACGAACCAAGACGACGTTTGTCCCCATGCAGAACAAGCGCGTGTTGTGGTACATGTGCGGGCCGACGGTGTACGATATCACACACTTGGGCCACGGTCGCACGTACACGTGCTTTGACTACGTTCGTCGCATTCTGGAGGACTACTTTGGATATCAAGTCGAGTTGGTGATGAACATCACGGACGTGGACGACAAGATTATCGTGCGCGCCGCCGAGAACGGGTGGACCGAGGCGCACCCAGGGCAGTCGTTGCCTGCAAACAAGGATGAAGCCGCCAAGGCCGTGCTCGCGTGGGCGTCCGAGCAGTCCGCGGAGAGCAACATGCAGCGCACGAACGACTTGTCCAAGTTCTTCGAGAAGACGTTCATGGACGACATGGCGGCGCTCAACATCAAGCCGCCGACCGTGTTGACCCGCGTGAGTGAGTACATGCCTGAGATCGTCGAGTTTGTCGAGGGCATCATCGCCAACGGCTACGCGTACGAAAGCAACGGCTCCGTGTACTTTGACACGATCGCGTTTGGCAAAGCCAAGGGCAAAAACTACGGCAAACTCGTGCCGGAAAACGTCGGCCAGTCCGACTTGTTGGCCGAAGGCGAAGGTATAGTGTTAACTGGTTGGCGTGGTACTTTAACGACGACGTAGGGTCGCTGTCTGTCGGCGCTACGGACAAGCGCAACGGAAACGACTTTGCCCTGTGGAAGAAGTCCAAGCGCGGCGAGCCATTCTGGGCCAGTCCGTGGGGCGAAGGCCGACCAGGGTACGTCCCCATCTGGGAGATGACATACATTCATGATCGAAAGCAAACATATTTGCGTTTGTACTGTGACGTTCATAACAAACATTCTTTCGTGGAAAAAAGATACTCTTCTGGAGAAAAAACATTCTTTGACGAAGAAAAAACATCCTTTGTCGACGAAAAAACATTCTTTTATGAAGAAAAAACATCCTTTGACGACAAAAAACATCGTTGGTCGAAGAAAGACACATATTTTCGTGCGAGACGTATATGGGTCCTGTGTCATGAGTGTTGATGATGATCAATGAGTTTGCATACGTTGGTGATGGGTATTGTCAAACAAGATTTGGACTTTTGTGCTGAATCGCCGCCAAAACCATCGATCAATTACTGTGAATTTTGTTATATGTAGTGATTGGTATCACACTAATTTCAG